GGCGGAAGGTTCTTCAGGTGTTCTGGTCTCATCCTGTTCGGACTTGGTACTGTTCGATTTTTCACAGACGAAATCGCATGTCGGATTTCGGAAGGGAGAACCGGTGATACACATCCATCCTGCTTTATTTCATATGACGGAAGGTGGAAGCGAATCGTGAATGATTTTCTTCATTGCCTTCCTGGACGCTGTAAGTGTTCCGTCTGGGCGTCGGAGTTCAACCATCTTGGTCTTGTGATTGGCGAAGCTTCGGTGGGTTTTGCAAATGCTTCTCCCAGCATTTCCACCTTCCACCATTACTGCTGCTCTTCGCTCTTTAAGATCTTTTTTCGCCTGTATGCATTGTTTTGCAAGTTCGAACGTTTGTTCGCGGTTGCTTGCAGCTCGTGCAGTTCCACGCTGGCGTATAGGCGTGTAGAATTTTGGGTCAACAGCGACATCGGTTAGGCAAAACCTATTAACCACGATGTGGTCTATTTCGTTATGGTACTCTCCATTGGGAGACTCCCACGTCCAGCGTTGAGTGGGGGGGGGGGGGGGGTTCTGGAATTTGCGGGTTACCAATGGATGGTCTTGGTCGCCACAATAAACTCAGAAAGCTGCTCACCCTGTTCGTTCCATTCTAATCCGTGGTCCCAATATGACGTTCTTCGGACGTTTTTTTCGGTCCAGTCTTGGCGTTGAAATCTCCAATGATGACCTTGAAGAATATATGATCTCCCCTGTAGAACTTCTTCAAGTCCATATTAGAACGCTTCGACTTCTTCTTCGTCATAGTTTGATGTCGAAGCGTAAACGACGAGGATTGTCAAAGCCGGAATTGATCCACATCTTTTTAATCGTAAACGTTCGATTCGGGTTGTAAGCTGTTCGAATGAAACAATGTTCATGGACAATCTCGTGTTGACGAGAACGTTGACGCCGCCGACTCCTCTACAGTCGCATGTTCTGAGGAACAATTCTTCTCTGGTGTCATAGACTGCGTTGAATGGATGGCGTCGTCTCGTCTCAGTCAGGCCGGTGACGTCGTGCCTTCCTTCTCCTTGCTTATATAAGCAAGTCCTCTGTCCACGACTCGGGTGCAAGTGTACGTGAATTGTAGTTACAGATCGTCACCATCGTCCTTTGTAATCCAGGCAGCTTCCATTGGCCCTGAGATTTTAGCTACCTCTCCGTACTCGTCCTACCCAAAGCTGCCGAATTGGGGGGTCTTTCGGGGTCAGGAGTATAAGGCCCATTTTTTAAACTGTGTTTAGCATTTTGATAGCCACGTATTGCTTCCCGGGCTCTGAACATGGAGGCTGGGTATACTCACGGGTAGCTTGCCAGGCTCTCCCAGAGTGGACATGGAGCTTATTTGTTGGAGGGGACTCCTTACCACCTCCCATATACTTCCCAACCGCTTGATTGCAGGATTTTGCCGAATTGACTCGTAGAATATAATCCGCACAGGCGAGAACGCACCCACACACGCATGCATGAATACGCCTAGCATATACAGAAAGTGCGTGCCAAATCGGTGCAGCAGAAACAGGGAGTCAATCCCTTGGATCCACTTGCGTCGCAGGGAAGCAAAGGTCGTTTTGGTCCGCGATTAACCCCCTATCTGCCACATGAGGACGCGCCACGTAACCTCGTGACTAACCGGCTCGAGATCCCTCCCATATGAAGGAGATCAGTGGACCATCCCTTTAGGGTCGGGAAATTGGGACCAGAGTTGTTTGTTATCAGCTGACTCCCTCAAGTCCATAAGAACAGATTATAGCATGTGATGAAGTTGTGGGAACACCTTAGCAATACATTCCCATGGTTTGGTAAACAAATACCATAATTCATATGTCAACCTAGTGTTAAGGTAGCTAACCTCCCTCCGATCCACAGCGGGCAACGACTACAGATGTTGAGAACTTCGGAAGGCCGTAGCGTGACTCCATGGAAAGAAAATCTTGCCTACCAGTAAATTATTAATCAATTGAAAATTTGACTAGCGATCCCATAATTCTTCATGGTTACACTTAGGTATCGAAGTCATATCTAACATTGAACTGATGTTTCTCATGTGACTGTCGAGCGGGTCATTTTCGAAGTTACATAACACTTTAGCAGATGATAAAGCGAATTTTGGATGCGCCCGAGAGGACACGACCTCTTAAAGCCATCTGTAATATCAGATGATAAGTGTTCTTAGCGACTGTGATTCTAGAGCGTTCGCCGAAGTTGTCGCTTTCATCAACTTAAGAACATTAGTTCTATTATATGAGAAAACTCCAAATTGCATGTATACGGTAGAGCTGTAGAGACGGAATGAAGCGACGTCGGCTTTGGCAATCTTCATTACTTATGCCTCAACATGAAGATCCGATAGAGACGAAGTTGAAGCATATTGTATGGACATAGGGAAGCTTTTGTAAAGAAGTGCACACTTTCTAATACATCACTCCAGCCATTTCAGTGCCAGTGCTAATCATGAGAGAACACCTGAGGGACTTCAACTAAGTGAAATGGACCAAGTAGAATGATACTCTGAGTACCTCATGACAACCTAGACTATCGGTGGCTACCACAGTTGCAAAAGCCCTTTTTCCCATTGGTCATGGGACTTTATTCATGGTGATTACCTTGGCGAAAGAGACCATGTGTGAAATTTTGCCTAATCTATGTCACTGTCAAATCAGTGCCTTCCATTCCTACAATGAATAGGACCATACACAGACGTTATCCTGCCCTTTGGCGCTAAATCAATCCCTTAGGGTTACGCTATGCATTTGGTTCCATTAAAAGTCGCAAAAATGACTGAGTGCATATTTCGCCCTATTCGCGAGGGGGCGGACGGCACAGAGGTAGTGGTGTCGATCATCAGGAGCACAGTGCTGGTTCGATCCCACCATAGGCTCACCAGGCCTCTCGTCCCTCCGTAGTCACGAAGTTGGTATTAGACAGGTCCAGGAAAAAATTAATCTATGCAGTCTAATTGGAAACGCTCTAGTCCGGCTATCTCAAAACTCCAGTTGGAAGATTTTCGTAGATAATGGATACGAGGAGGCGATTCGAATGTGAGAAGTACCGGGATCCGCTCAACAGACGTGAAGACGGTTCTAAAATAAAAATAAAATAAAATAAATAAATCTAACCAAGGGTGGCTACTGCCTGTGGTGGTGATGACCTGGAGCAAACTTTAGCTTGGCTGACCTCGGGACTCCAGTGGACAACAATGGCTAAACCAGCAAAACTCCGATACAATAGAGGTTGTGGTGGGACCCGCACAACCGGTGAGGACAGGCCATCCAAGTATTCAAGGGAGTAAGTAAATCTAACAGTAAGTCCGATTCCCTACTGGATCGTATGAAGGCACGTGTGTTCTCAAGGAAGAGCGCATAGCGAACAATCAGACGTATTTCCCGCTCTGATTCCGACGGCTATGCTTTGTTTATACTTGGAGAACTACTTCAAACTTCAGACATAGTTAGGATTAGTTACTTATTTACACTTCAAAAATCGAAGACAATAGGATGCAAGGAGACAGTCCACCCTGCACAAAAGTCGTACGAGAATGAAGTATAGGTGGGAATCTTGTTAGAGTCATGCGATTTCTGTGAATATCATCAGACCATCTGCGTATGATAAGGTAAGTTCGAAGAATTTCTCATCAGGCCACGTAATGAAGAGACTTTCAGGGATAGAACTATCTGTCAGAGCCCTAAACAACTGCTCATTGTTCCATTAGTGATGTTTGAATACTTACTTGGATAATTGGACGGCAAGTAAGTATGCAAACATCACTAATGGAATAATGAGCAGAAGTCCCGAGGTCAGCCAGGTCAAAGCCTGCCCCAGGTCGTCACCACGGCAGGCAGTCGCAGCCTTTGTGTATCAGAGGGAGATTTACCACCATGCGACTTTGATACCAAGACGGTGATGGATCCAGATATTTGTTTATTACTAGCCAGCATTCCCAATGGAAACGCTGGACTCCTCAGCTTGAGAGGCGCTGCCAGGAGGATGAATCCCCCGCTGTACATCGCCGACATCGCCCGACATCCAGAAACACTTTCCACCGGTGAACTGTTGGAAGGGATGTTGTCATTGCTAGCCTAATTCATAAGACCAGAGCTGGTATTCCAAGTACATTAGTTCTGACTTGATAGGACGGAAACTAGCATGGGTTCTTCCACAAGTTGAGGTTGTACGAGATTCCTCACCATAGTTCGTCAGAGCACGGAAACGTAAAGTTGAAGATATCCCTCTGCTGTTTCTGTTTCGGTGAAAATTTATGTGCTCTTGCCACAATTTAAGATACAGATACAAGTATAGTGGTGCTGAGATATTTGCCATTCTCCGGGCCTCAGGTGTCTGCGACGGGGATCAAATGCGCTCATACTCTTTCGAGGGGTTAACCCTCTCATCACCACACCATGTGTGTTCTTCGTTTTGCCTTTCTCTCACCTTTCTAAGATACAGATATTCTCAATTAGCAGTTAAGAACTTGTCTGTATGCTTTAGACGTAATGGACAGTTTGTTAGAGTTTGGTTCATTAGTGGAATTACACTGGTTATTGCTTAGTTTCCCAACTACATTCAAAAGATCCCCATGGAAATCTGCAGTCCATATAGATCTCGAATTTCAGCTTCCGCTGGGTACTTACTAGTTTTTCCTTCGACAATGGAGATGTGTGATGTAACATGTTGGAAACGCTCGTTGGAAATTGGTTGGGCTACGAATAGCGCGCGCTATCCGTGCAAATACCAGTCATGGCTGTTTTGTAATGCAAACTGTTTATTAGTGTATGTAACGTTTACAACATTAGTTTAAGTCGTTTTACGGAAAAATTAGTGATGGAGAAAATCTTTTGCGTTTTTATCCGACGGCAATGGACGATCTGGGTAGTGTTATCCCTCTGCACACTGCCGAAACCCTCACCCCCTCACGAAACTGAGCAAGTTCTCTAAGGCGGTTATAGTAGTGTGCTTCAGTCCTAAGCGTTGTTAGCCTTCTTTTGTTAATGACTTGTCTTCCAGGTACATTTATGCATTTGTTTCGATTCATAGTCGATCTGACGGCGAGGTTTCCACGTTTCGGTCTCGTTCATTCAGTGTTCACTTTTCTACTTCACTTTACTATCGAATACATTTATAATTTCGTTACTTGCATTTTGTTTGCTTTTTTCCATTCTGGATATCAATTTAGGAAAATAAACTCACCAATCTATCAGTTGTCGCTGTCAAGTTGTTTTCGGCGATGGAACTTCCTCCACATTACTAGAGAGCCCTTACAGAGTTATGTTAACAAATTGAGGTTCTAAGTATCTGTACAGGTACCCTTCCTGCTTTAGATTTGTGATTTGGGCTTAGAAGTTTTCCTTGGATGCCCATAATTTGCTATTTGTTCGATTTCAGGCTGTGGAATCGTCATGCAAAACAAGCAGAACATTTCCGTGTACACGATATCCGAAAGGCTGGCACGGTTCAGTTCTGCCGGTCGAGATATCCTGACGGTTGAAATACCAATTCCTCAGCCCGAGTACTCGGACGTCGACGAGTACGTTGCTGTGTTTGGCGAACGAGGGCTTCTTGATGTAGTTGACGAAGTGGGTAAGTTGTTTCGACAGAGTAGTGCTGGTTGCTTTAGCTGGTTACTCGAATAAACTAAACTTTGTGGTGGTTGGAAGTCTTCTAAGCAGATTTCTAACCGGTATTTGTATATATGTGTTCTTACGAACTGGTCTTGTTGAGCTGACGCGAGATTGGTATAATTTCTCGTTACTGCTATTGTTGTCGTTGTTGTTATCGTTGTTGTTGCTGCTGCTGTCGTTGTCGTTGTTGTTGTGATTGTCGTTGTTGCTGTTGTTGTTGTCATTATTATTGTCGTCGTTGTTATTGTTGTCGTTGTTTGATGGCTGACGGTTGGGCGACTTCGCCTTCTTCAGAGCCTTTAATTTTCTGTCCTATTAGCCCGGACTGGAGCACACTGGAAGTGTTCTCTAAGTATTCCCTTTGTGTTATTGAGTTTGTTCATTTAAGTTAAAAATTCGTTGGTTCTCTACTTATTTCAAATGTGTTGCTGCTCTTCAACGATTTTTTATCTTTTTTAGAGCTTCGGAAAGAACTAACCAACTTTATTCGTGACAAAACACAAAAGTTCCAGGAGGAGAGGGATGATGCGTTAATCAAAAAAGCCCTAGAAAGAGGATTCGATAAGACGGAATTGGAGCCAGCAGCAAGTGTTAGTGCGAGGCTTAATTTAACTCAAATTTTTGGGATCCCTGTTAATTTTAGTTTTCGGTGGACCATCATGAAGATTTTGCGAACAAGTTCTCGTTCGTTATGCGGAACTCTTCGAGCTCACAATTGGCCGAGTTAATGCGAAGGCAAATCATTATGATAAACGAAGTGGGTCGCTGTCCATTTTCCAGTTGTGTTGGTGGAATTATAGCAACAGAACATTGGCAGTTTTTACCACCATTTAGATAAAAAACGACAAAGCTCTCGGCGTTGATCAATACCAGAGGGATACGCCATGCCTTCTACCTCATTAAGCACCGTTAGAGGTGACTGAATGCATATCTTGCCCTTACAATGATTCGCGGTGGCCTACCGATATTTCGAGCTGGTGATGCTATTCTCCTAGACGACTCTGGTACCATGTTGCCGACCCCGGAGGGATAAGAGGCTTGGTGAGCCTTGGATCCGGAGATCGGTCCCATGTGTGTGTTACAGGACTCCTATCACCCCTCCAAACGCACCATTTAGTAAAACGCGGAATTACGAGGCAGATGTTGAACGCAAATATTCTAAAAAGTCCGACTTTACTTCGAAACTTCGATGGCTCTTTATTAGAATCCATGCATGTACAGCGTAGTTTCCTCATCTCAGTTCCTTCAAAAACAACAGATATTCCTACAGTGACTTTCTTCTTATCTACTTGTGTTTGTAATTGCGACCATCTTTAGCTTAGGTAACTGTAGAAAAAAGTTGTGTGTACATCAGAAGTGCGATATCCTAGAACATTCCTTGCCACGGTGGTGTGGTTACCATTGGACATAGTGAGTGGTGACAAAATCGGGAGGGCCGTAAACCATTGATACTGTGCTCTTCGTCTACTTGCTGCGGTACTCCTAAACTCGTTGATTTTTCAGATGAGTCAGATTATTCGAGTGAGGAACTGGGAAGTAGCAGATCTGACGAATAAGTGCGAGACTGCCGTGAACGACGCGTTCCTTAATGCCGATGTTCACCCTCACGAGCTCAGTAAACTTAATGAGAAGTTAAGAGTGGGTTTGTTACTGCATGTTTCATGTTTCTCAAAACTATTTCTTATGATTCTGATTCTACGTTACTCAGAACCTTCACGCATCCTATGCCTGTCAGATCGAACTGTTGGTGGAACAACAGAAACGAGATTTCAGGTTAGAAGTAGATTCCATTAAGCTTTTCCGGTTGACCATTTGCGAATGGCGGAACATATCCGTTACCACCTTGACAAGAAAAACTTGTTCTCTTTGTTATACCTTTTTATTTTCTGCCTATTATAATTTCGCGGCAGGGTACTAAGCGAAATACAACCACAACGTTACTGAGATATTTGCGAAACTCTGGATCGCAGGTGTCTATGGCGGGGAAAGAACGCGCTATTGTCCTTTCCGGGGAGTAAATTATAGAAGGCAGAAAACAAAACGTTAAACATTGTGATTTCAACTACAGCCATAGCTTAACTGGGTTCTATGCCGATTTGTGCTCCCCAGATCAACCCCGCTGACGGGTGATTGCTGTGGCAAAAAAAAAAAAAGATCGATAGAAATAGCTGAGAGACGTGCGAAACAAAGGACCCGCATGGTGTGGTGGTGAACGCGTTACTCCCCGGAAAGGATAATAGCGCGTTCGTTCCCCACCATAGACACCTGCGGTCCAGAGTTTTGCAAATATCTCAGCAACGTTGTGCTTGTTCTCTTTAATCAGACAAGGGGTGACAAGCTTCATATAATGCATCCGTTGACTACTGACCGACTAGGTTCAATTCGTAACCTAAACCTTAACGAAAAAATGTTTGCCTCTTTATGAATATGGTCGACGTATTGTACTCTGGTGGCGACATTATTAACGATTCTATAACTGATGGGAAGACTATTCCGGTGTGAGTTTCTAAAGATTTCTGTCTATGAATTAGCCTTAAGTACAGTTCTTTCCTTAGAAAATCTGAGCGTTTTTTTCATTATTACTGTCAAATGTTGTTTCTTATCTACTTCAGCACCAGGTTCCTTAAGTTCCTCTTATTGTGCATTTGTAGGACTTCGCCGTCAGAGGTTACTCTGGACGAAGTTTGTGATGAAGGTGTCAATGAGAGCTATACCATCTATATAGGTAAGCGATACACCTTTAGGAAACTTGTTGTGAATGTGACCGGGAAACTGGATTTCTTGATAATAAATGAGGGCGCGTGTGGCGCAGTGGTCAGAGGCGTCATGCAACACATGCATGGGATCAATCCCGGCGCCCAAGGCTCACCAAACTTTCCATCCCTCCGAGGTCGTCAAATTGGTACCAAACTGATCTGGGAGGATAGGAGAAGTGGCTCGATACATCCGTAGGCCACCGCGAGTCATTGCAAAGGCCAGTTATGCATTCAGTCATCTCCAACGATGCCTAATGAAGTCGAACGCATGAAGCATACCTCAGTGATTCATGAACGCCGAGAGAATGACAGATGGATGACAAGTGTACTTGAGTAAAATGCATTTAAGGAGCGCAGTTGAAGTCAATGCACAACGTAAGATTGCTAACATCGAAATCGATGGTAGAACTCTGCACACCGTTGAAGGTAAATTCTTTCCTAGAATTTTATAGTTCGGTTATGAATTACGCGAAATTCTAGGGCGTTGATGCAAGTTCTCTTCTACAGATGTCCATTTCTCTTTACGGAAGACAGTTAAGTGCACTGGTGATGTTAGTTCCTCGTGATCCTTTATGGCATTCCACTAGTGGATCTGGTACGACATCTTTTTTTTCAGTGTTGTTTTTCATTTTATTAAAGTTCAGAAAGTAACCGAAGGTTTGCTTCTGCTTCTTCATCATTATGGCATTCCACGTTTTTGTTGTTTATTATGATTTTATGGCCACAAAATAATTTCTTCTTTGCCAGGTTGCAGACTGCATGACAACTCTTATGAAATCAGTGCGACAAAGATACGATGTAGCTAGAGTTTCACTAAAGGTTATAAAGTGGACTTCTGGTTTGCTGCGACCTTTGGACTAACTACTTTTGTTTTAACGGGTTTTTCTTCACGAATTGTGTCGGTCATAACAGCGTTTTCTCTATTCGATCACTTATGTGGTAGCTCTTTCTCATTCATAGTCACAGTCATTTTATCGTGTCAATGGAGTGGGCCTTCTTTGAATTAGAGTACTGTCCGGCGGCTATGACGCCGTGAAAATGCGATTCTTCCACTTCTTGTTATCCTTGTGAAAAAAAGATGACTGATAGGCCTACGCTATCCTGCCAATGTTTTTATTCGCATCGTTGTGATGGATAATGAGATGACTCGAGGAAGAAACGGTTATATGAGTTCATGGGGTATTCTTATTAAAATTTCGCCTTGCCGACGTGGTAATTGGCAAGGAATCTGAGTTTGCGAAGGTCTGCGGTGCGCTACAAAACTATCGTGTGCTTCATCGATTGTGGAGGTCACGTCATACGTGTACGAGGAGTATTCAACAAGTGTGGAAAACAATGTAGAGGAGAAATTGTGCAGGAGAAAGAAAAATGGCATTGCATCGTTTGAGCTTCATCATGTTTGAGCAACCAGTCAACTGTTGGACCTAAAACTCCGCACTCTTGTTTTTAACTGGGTGCTTCTAGTGTTCTAGTACAAGGCTGTAAGGTGGATTTATGTCTAAGCCATGTAGAGGATTTTGTAAAATAATCATAGAGCGCGCTTAAACGATCTTCAGGGAAAGGAAACGTACACATCAAATTAGACTATTTAGTTGAAACTGAGTATATTTTGAGATCTAAGGGAGTACATCTGCAAAACGGGAGATCAATAAGCCAGTCAAGGAAGGAGAAGAGGTGATATTAGGAATGAGAAGCGCGATGAGAAGAGTGGTGAAATAGTCTGCAAGACGATGAAAGCATCATTTGGGACGTTCACTGAGCTTATTTTCAGCTCATGTCAACTAACTGTATTTCCAGCTATAAAGTACTTGTTGATACCTGCAGACTTTGCCACTCTTAACAGTGGAGATCGCAAGGGGTGACAACGAATGAGAAATGGACCGCTCAGGTCTCCGACGGGTAGCCCCTGGCTATGTACAATATTACAGCCTACATGAAAAGCTTGTAGAGCGTGCTCAACATGCAAGTCGTGTGGTGGTGGCCAGGACCAGTTCTTCTATCCGTCTTGTTCATGATGGCTATGCGTAATGTCCACTACTGATCAGAGATGCCTTCTGTTTGATGGTATATAGTCAGGAAGATTGCGGTGAGTGCGTGTAGTTAATGGCTTCTACTTCGAAAGGGGGTGCTGTAATGTTGACCTGAAACGGAAATGTTTGGTGCAGACCTTTTCTTTTATCATTTTCATGTCAGGATAAAGTTTTAGGAATTATTTTATCGTTCTGTAGAGCTGTCTCTCTAATAATGTGCTAGCGGATTTAGCAATGTCATTGATTAACCTTATCTTCTTTAAGCTGCCTTCAAAAATGTTCGTTCGAGCATCATTATAGGTTTCCCTGCTAGAGTCTACTATAGCCTTTATTTAATATTATCACTATGAGAATGTGCTTCGGTCGGTGCTACCTTCGTTTGTCCTCCATTTGTCCTCCACCCTTTTCATCTACTTCTTGGTGATGGTGAGGGTGCGATGTGAACTCCTCGTCAGGAACCCTAAGGCTTTTTCGACGGAGGTTTGTGGTCTTTTAAAAAATAATTCCTAGTGTTCAATCTTACCGGAAAACACTTACTTAGAATTTCATTGTCCACTATCCTCACACACCATTTGTTTTCTCTCTTTTTTCCAAAAACAATAAGATACTTCTCCAGCTTCTAAATAATTGAAATGTTCCTGCATGTAGGAAGAAGAATCAGTGAGGAACGGCGGCGTCAAAGATGTTTTAGATCTCTTTGGGAATATGGTCGATTTCCTTGTAAGTGTTGCCATCGGCGATAGAAGCACTTCGATATTCTTCCCATGAAAAGGTTTCTATACAAAAGTTATACTGTGGAAGGGAGCTTGGAGAAACAGTTACCACTCTCTTTTTGCCATTTATTTCCATTAACCAGACCTCGCATCCCATTCATTTCTCTCTCCATTCTGTTGTTTTCTCAGATAACATAGGAGTTCTTCTTATGTTATTTCTTTTCCCACTTTAGTGAATGATGTCTACTTAGTTGTACTTATCTATTCAAGCTCTTGTCTAATTTATTTTAATGATTTGTGCATGACCTTGGGCAGCATTCGGTGAAGTCACCGATAAGGGTTACCTAGCTCGCGTTATAACAACACCGATTTTTTTTTACTATTCGGAGGTTTTTCTTAAGTTTTGTTAGCTTTCATTGTCGATCACTTTCGTTCGAAGTGATCGTTTCGTCCTGGAAGCGACTTAACAAGAAGCATATCGCTTGTTGGCTAATACAACATAATTTCTAGCCCAGATACCGCTTTGGTTATTCTGAAGGTTGTCAGTGCGTCATAATTGTTGGATGTATTGGTTGGAATTTGCCGATAATTTACTTCGATTTCTGAATCCTTCCTTCACTACGTCTCTGTCGCTTCCTATCTTTGCTGTAGAATGTTTCCAAAGATACTTCAAAGTACAATTATCCAACATAGCTAAATAGTGTCGGTCTAAGGGTGAAGAAAGATTTCTATGTAAACTTCGGCAGTGATTTATTCTTCAATATATTAGATTATAGAGAGGTTTGCTACAATGGGGCCCTACTTATACACACAACCTCATTGATGGCTTCTAGCATAGTTTGCTGTTAAGCTGCGATTCCGAGCAAAAATGTCAAATTTGGTGACTGCATAGGTGATACTACCTCCTATTGTGCGTGGCAGGAGGAATTCACTACGGAATAAATTAGTCGTAAGCTTTTTAGAATTTGCTCGTGTTTGCGAACAATCCACTGAGCTTCATTTTGAGTCTTTGCCAGAACAACTGAAGGGTGTTGTTGAATCGGTTTGTTAATTTTAAAGAATATCTGTGATTCGCTTATGTGCTTGAAGTCCTGTACTTTAGGCTATAAAGGCAAAACGTTGGAGAGAAGAATTCGCTTCAGGGCAGCCGAAGTCATCTGAGGGTGACATGCCATTGAAAGTAGTACATGATGTAGCGTTGGAACCAGGCGACGTGTACTGCACTAGGCACTCCAATCTCAGAGATGTTCAAGTGCGTGATTTATGATTGCGATTTTTCTGCGATTACTGTAGATTTGCGCACTTCTACAGATATGATGTAGATCTTCTAAGTGTACTCTTCCGCTGGTTTCTAAAGCGAGTGAAATTCTCTATATCCGCACTTGAGAAAAAAATATGGAGGTAATGTCTTTAGACCTAAGAAAATAATTGTTTGGAATCCTATCTTCAAACATTAGGATGTCAAGCTCTTAACATGCGATGGTACCTAGTGCTTTCTTCCCTTTTATGTTACGTACTTGGATATACTTCGTTTTAGGTTGTGTTCCACTTGGTCATGGATGATTCCCTTTATTCCGCAGATATATCGAGCCGGTTCGTTTTGCATTCCTGATTTTCTGTATAGATGAATTTTGTCACCCGCAGCAGTTTGATTTAGTCATCCTTGTCTGAATGGGATCCGTAACATTATTCGACTAACTATCCGACTAGGTATAACTTCTATCCATATTCCGTTGCTTCTTGTCGAAGAAGCGTGTGAGGTATATTCCAGAGAGTTTTTACACTGTTTGAGTTTTTTTCATCTGCACCAATGATCTTTAGAATATGACAATCGCTTGGTGTATGAAGAGAGCTGAAATGGTCTTCAAATGCGTTAAAGGTTATCTTATGGAGGTTAGTAAATATAGATGAAATATGAAGAATGTCTGCATGTTGTAATTATGCTTGGAGAAAACGGAATTCAAAACTGGTTTTTCCAACCCTCCCGTTTTGTTGTTTAACCTCGCTTAAAATATTATTGACGGCACTAGTTTTTTTTTTAGATTGTTGCTAATCACAATCTTTTTCCATTATGGAGCTTGTACGGTGCTGCTGTGTAAACTTGACTTAAACACTATCAATAGTTTAGTCACTTTTTATTTATTGGCTATTCTTTTTATGGTGGGGCATGATGTGAAATATAACCACAATGTTGCCGAGATACTAGCTCCTGGAAATGGTACTAGCGTGTTCGATCCCCACCGCAGACACTATTAGTAATTTTTAGTAATTAGATAGGAAATAAATAACCTTCCAACGGTTTACCGCCTCATCGTGGCGGGCACGTGTTCCTGGGTGTCGGGCTGCGATTCACAGCGTGGGGATTCATCTTACTGGCAGGGTCTTGCAAGCTAAGGAGTCCGGCGTTTCCACCATGAAGCCCAGCTAAGAGTAAATCAATACCGGTATCCACCACCGTTCTGGTACTAAACTAGTCACGTGGTGGCAAATCTCCTTCTGTCGCCTCACCTAAAGAAGATCAGTTTATAAGACCATATAAATAAATATATCAATTATCTATGCCTTTATAGAAAGTCGGTCTTTTGAGTTGAAAATGAAGGTCTTTTGTGGATTCAAGGACGTCTTGTTAGTAAATATCTTAAAATGGACTTTATTATTTGGAATAAAATCCGTTGGTGTTTAATCTTTGACGATAAAATACATGTCTTTTTATTTTACCACGATCAAGTTCTGGTTTTCTATAGAAACGTGGTTTTCTTTCTCGTTTTTTTTTCTTGTCGACAGTCGAATCGAATGGGTACAGAAGAGGGATCAAATCGTTCCAGAAGCGATATTATCCCCAAATATGTTGCCATTGTTTCGCTCTTTCCTTAGAAATCCTAGGCGTTGTTCAGTGTATTAGAAAATTTTTGAAATTTGGGATGAAGATGCTCTTTTGGAAAATTATATGTACTTGTAGTACTATAGGTAAGATCCTCTTTGGAGGTCAGTGAAGCTCCCTTCCTTCAAAACAATTTAATCTTCGAGAAATTACCAACAGTTATTCGAAAACAGCTCATCGTCGATATTCTTTTTGAGCAAACACGAGGTGTTATTTAGGTAGGTATGAGGCGAGGTATAAGTGCGTAGTCGACCACGTGCGACTCTGATCAGCTGTTCCTCTGTGGAAGGCGCATAAAAAAAGGCTTAGAAGAAGGCTATACTGCCGAAACGTCAGCTTTAATGGAATGAAGAGTAAAGTAACAACTAGTGTTTGGTCAACAAGAATATCAAGAACTATTTGATCAATGCCACGGCTAATAGAAAGTCTGTCGTGGGAATTATTGAGTTCGTCTTTAATATGTTAGTTGTAAAGTACTTTGATTTCGCCATTGTTGATACTAGACGGAAATGAAGCGTGAAATAGTGAGTGTTTTTGTGACATTTTATTTTCAGGAATGAATTAGGATACTTTATTAGAATCGCGGTCATTTTCTGATATAATAAAGTTCAATTGTTTCTTCCTCAGGTATGTGGAATTTGTGGCGGATCTGCTGTCGGCGGTGGTGTGACAAATGTTCCGCACTACAATGTTCATCTTGTGCTTCCGTCAGGACTGGCCGATGGAGTGTATCAACAGATTTCTGCCATGCTCCCGACGATTTTCCATCTTGTTCCAAGTGTTTCTATAGCGGTACAAGAAGCGTAACCTTCCATTGTTGGATCGTTATCTTCACTCTGTCTAGAATTTATGTGTTTGTACGACGGGGGCCAAACTTAAATATTTGTACAGTCTTTTCTGGCCTAAGTGTTCTTTCTAGTGCTTCATTATTGGAACTACCACATCCTTCCTAACATTGTTGCAGTTGCGAAGTGAATGTAATACATAACACTTTGTAGGCAGAAGAACTGAACGTATCGATTTTTATAGTTTAATAAAAATTTGTTTCAGTTGTGCCAAGAAAAACTTTGTGGTGTTTTTTCCTTCTACCCTATCGCCTTAACTTCAGAGTAAATATGCTTATTCAGCTCCTCTTTATAAGTTGCGTTTTGCACTTCTTCTGGATTTACGATTGCGAATCTAATAATTAATTTCACAATGAGTGCTACAATGACATGGTTATGATTCTATACTGGAGAAATTTTTTTCTCTCTCCCTTTTAAGCTCTCTTTTCCTTACCAACTGGAAGTGCGTATAGCACAATGATCGGAGGCGCTCTGCGCTATGCATGAGATCAATCCCCGCGTGTCAGGCTCACCAAGCCTTCCATCGCTCCGAAGTCAACAAAACAGTACCGGACTTATCTGTGAGGATATCAGCACCGGCTCGATACATCGGTAGGCCACCACAAGTCGTTGTAAAGGTCACATATGTATTCAATCATCTCCAACGATGCTTCATAAAGTCGGATGCATGGCGGATTTTTCAGAGATTGATCAACGCCGAGAGCTTTATCTTTTTTATCCGCTAGGCCGAAGAGAAGCGGAAATATAATTTCGTCGTACTCGCTACGAGGACGGTTATTTCTCGTCATAGGTTCGGTGAGTTGAAAGGAACTCATACCGGCCATGACATTTCACCCTGTATCGGTCATATGAATGGCACTGCCTGTGACGCTCCACTACTCACCAAATTGTTCTGTTTTAATTTTCATGGTTATTCTGCATATCTCATTAGTAGTCTCTAATTTCTTTTTCGTTTTTATATTCTACATATCCTTTGGATTCTTTGTATCTTTAGATGGTTTTAGAACGTTTCTATCCTTTGTGCGTGATGAAAAACAATAGGTCAACCATTCAACTTCATGTTGATTTTCGTCAAACATTATGAAAAGAGTAAATCCGTAAGACTAGAACGAAGAGATGACGATGTTGGGGAGCTGTCAAGCTACGGCGACTCTGGTGATTGGTTGAATCTTTAAGAACAGCCGTTTTGAAGTGGATACGTAATAAATGGTTCCAGACACAGACCGGGTAGATTTCTAAGGCTTATAGCGGATATATGACGTGTTATAAGAAAGTCTAAGAGGGCAAGAGAAAGACCACTCATGCGGACCATGAAATCTTGAAGAACTTCTGTGGACCTATCTGTGTCGTTGAGATTATTGTTACGAGGATTTTTGTCAGTCTACCATGGAATTATTTCACTCCCAATTCTAATTTTACGTACTTTTTGGTACAAAATCATGTCAAGTATATGATCGAGAAACTGTTTACATTCATATGTTCCGTCGAGACGTAGAATGATGGGTGATTTATGCAACATCGGAGCACTTCTGGAACTTGTTAGTGGAAATTGCATGAAAATCTACGGGGTTGGGATTACCGTATCATTCGGCCGTCATGACATTTTGAGGGATAGCTTCGTTTCGCCAGTGTGCCCCAATGGGGTACAAACATGGGTTAAAGTTGCTGAGTTAAGGATATTAGCTAACCCATTATTGTTATGTCCACAGTGAATGTGACACGACGCTCAGACAAAAGTCTTTGTGAAGATACGTGGCCAGATGGTGGTGTTCTCTTCAAATGTTAGAATTCGGGGCTACGAATCTGGCGGCGTACTTATGTTTAGCTCAATGTTAGCTGTTGCAAATATTGTAGATACTTCCATTTGCTTGTTTAGGAAATGCCCATAAAAAAAGGATAAATGGATAAAGCTCTCGGCGTCGATGATTCCCTGAAGGATGCGCCACGCATTCGACTTCACTGAGCATTGTTGGAGGTAATTGAATGCATATTTGGCCTTTACAGTGGTTCGCAGTGGCCTACCGATATATTGAGCCAGGGCTGCTATTCTCCCAGACAAATCTGGTATTTTCCAACTTTGGAGAGTTGGAGCGCTTCGTGAGCCTGGAGCACCGGTATCGATCCCATGTGTATTGCAAAGCGCCTCCGACCACTGTGCTGCATGCGCCTTTGTTATGCCCATAAGAACCTTAACTTATATAGGTTATGCATTATTGAAGTGCAAATAATGTGTGTAAACTGTTAATTGTGGAAGTATTTTTAAGATTGTAAGGTAAATTCGTTTGAGCAGGATAGGGTTCACATTTGGTAACCTCTGATATTCCCGAGAATACCCGGCATAGAAGTACACTGATGAGTGCACATTCTGTGTACATACTTGTGAGTATATTGCTACATCTTCCACCATTTTCTTCTCTGTGCTAGGTGTATCCTTCTCATTAAGCATGATTTTCCCTTCTGGGGAACGGACTTTTTTGGAGGATTTTTTGCAATTTATTATGTCTGGTGAATAGTTTTCCTGATGCGATTGATGATATACTGGTCTGTCCTGGATAAGCCATCAATAGAAAACAACTGTTCACACACGCATGAGCTGATATCAACTCACGGCATTGCGCCTGTTCTAATCACGTTTTTCCCAGGATACCTTTCACACCTGCACCTGAAATATATCTTCATACATTCCCTTCTTGCTGTCCCTTAGGAAGAAAGTAAACGAGGACCTCGCCTTATGTGACCATGAAGACTGATATGGTTGTTCGTGAACTGCATTGCGAGGAAAGAAATAAAACGTGAGTCCATTCTATCTCACTAACGCTGTAGTTTAAGGGTTGGTTGGTCCAGCGCTACTTTTTATTTGGATCGTCGTCCTAATCATTTGCAAAATTGGAAAGGCTTTTGTAGAGAGTTTATGAGATGCACAGACTGTTTTTCCCTTTTCCAGAGATTTTACCCAGATTTGTGACGATTATGGCGTTTTCTGCGTGAACAACGGAAGTAAAAGAGGAATAGAGGTATGTTCAAGTCAGATGCACTCCGTTTTCCATCCTGAACAGCTTTTCCGCTAAAATTTTTACACTATTGAGCTGTTTCTTCCATGGTTCCTTCCTATCATTGTTGTTCTGCTTCACAGTACCTCACGTTTACACCGGATAGCCTGAACCATATCAGTCGACGTACTGCGGCTAATGTTCGAGAACGGTATACACAGACTGGCGAGGACTTCAATTTGGCTTTCAAAATGGTGGGGATTCTTTCTTCTTATTGGCATTTTTTCTTATGAAGATGAAATGGTCGTCATTTTTCTTTATTTTAGATTAATAGCGATACAAAACTGGTAAAGACAGTTCTTCATAGTCATGGATTTACACAGGTGACAAAATGATTGATCTGTTAATTTTTTTGCTAGGCCATTTTTATGCAATGGACAACATACTATTTTAAAACTCTCTGATAGAAATCGCAGTATTTAAGTGCTCTCGAAAGAATCCGTCTTTCAATCTGATTTGGTGTGGTTCGGCAATTCGTCCCACTCACATGCGTTCCATCCAGCCATGGTTGGTTTCGGAAGGAGTTCGTACTTTAGCCATATCTTCTCATGTATTATAGGCAACGTCTAAATCAGTTTCCTCGTTCGACAGAGCTTACGCGTAAAGATAAACTCTACGATAACATACGTCGATCTTCGTCCATGTTTGGCAACGTCTTCAATTTCGTTAGTGTTTGCATAGTTCCAGTTGTTCAATGATGATGATCATGATGATCATAATGATGTTGTTGATGATATGATGATGATGGTAATAATGATGGTGATGATCATGATGTATTCCTTTATCAGACTAATTATCCACGATTTTTGGCAGATTCCCGATTTCTTCGTAACTCCACGCGATTCCTCACTTCTGAGTTCAGCAATGGAACATTCTATGGGGAAGTGTTCCTTTATCGTCAAACCTGTCAGCTCTTCTCGTGGCCAGGGAATTTTCTTTGCCAATAAGGTAGTATTTCTTGATTTTGATTTTTCTTCATCCTCTGCTATTTTTGTTTTATTTTCATTGGTTTCTTTTCCTTTAGTTTCATCTAAGTTAGACTTTCGTACTCTTTTTTTCTGTCGGAAATCAACGTATCACCGTATAGAATTATTTCAGCTTCGAGAAATTCCGGCAAGTGATACGCTGTTGGTTTCGCGCTATTTGGAGAATCCTTTATTGATAAATGGGCACAAGTTCGATCTTCGTATTTACGTAGCGGTCACTTCTTTCTACCCTCTTGTCGTCTATGTTTACTCCGAAGGTCTTACTCGGTACCAGAATTTGCTATAATGTGTCGATTTAGGAATTATACTTAATTACTATTTATAGAGTAGCATCGGAAAAGTACTGCAGTAATATTGATTCTCGAAATGCATTTGTACACCTTACAAATTATTCGATTAACAAGAACAATTCAAACTTCGTTCGGTAGGGTTCGTTATTTGTAAAGAAAATAGTTTTGCATTGTAGTAAACATACATATTTCAGAAATGACAGCATGGCCAGTGAAGATTATGGACATAAGTGGACCTTAGGAGCTCTCTTACGCCACCTAGAAAAGGACGGAGTTGATTCAAAGCGTAGGTGACACGTTTTTCTTTCAGCTAACTCAAAAATGAATCCAGCTGCCATACTATTTTGTCTCTGACAGTTCGACCTTTGGGGGAACAATTCAGTTGATTCAGTTGTCTTTACTACTTAGTAGGAATTGCCACATTTTATGATAGCCTATTCAATGTGATCAGACGTCTGGAAAAGTTCTGTGTTTTGTCCACTTTTCTGTTAAATATTTAACTTGTTTTGCAACCATATATCCTACTCTGATTCCGCAGGACGCGTATAGCGCAGTAGTCGGAGGCGCTCTGCTGTACACAATGGGATCGATCCTGGCGCCCCAGGCCCGCCAAGCCTTCCATCCCTCCGGGATCCGCAAATTGGTGCCAGACTTGTCTGTGAGGATAGCAGCACCAGCTCGATACATCGGTAGGCCACCGCGAGTCATTGTAAAGGTCACATATGCATTCAATCACCTCCAACGATGCTTAATGAAGGCGAATGCGTGACGGATCCCTCAGGGATTGTTCAACGCTGAGAGCTTTATCCTTTATTAATTCCACATGCGACATTAAACTGCATAATATTGTAACTGATTAGCGCGTCATAAAAAATTTCCTTCTGTGCCCTTTACAGTTTCTATTTGAAGGGTCGTAGCTGTATGGGCGTCTGCTCTTTTTTTTATTCTACACGACCTGATGTCACACGTTAGACTGATTCCAGTATTTCTCACACTAGATTCACTTCCTCACATCTATCATCTCCGAAGCTCTTCGAAGTTTTTCCGTATGGGCTCGGCTGTTGTATGATAATTTCTGGTTTTCCTTATGAATGTCGTTAAATTCTGGTCGAGTCGATTCTGTCTGGAATCCTGGGATAACCGTACTAGGATGCTTCTAGATTGTCGCAGACAGTCGCCTGTTTTTGAGGGTTGGAGTTAGCCAGTTGATCCTAGATAATTCCGGTACCCAGCCATCTCCAAGGAACGGAGGGGTTGTTAGGTCTATGGCGAGGTCGAACCAACGCTTTGTGGGTATTGGAAGGCGCCACTTCCATTTCGCTACTCACTCTGCTATTCATAAGTTTTGTATTTTTCAATCTAACCATGCTAATCTCGTCTGGTTCTTTTTTGATGCAAGCTTTCTCAATGTAAGTACAGACGATTTGTTTCTGTGGGCTTGGTTTCAAGAAAACAAAGGGTTGATGCATACCTCAGGTTTCCGTCGACATCTACTGATTTGCATTTCAGTGTTGATGCTTCGAATAGAGGATATCGTCGTAAAAAGCCTACTTTCGGTACAGGCGCGAATTACATCTGCATGCCGGACCACCACCCCATACATTGGCACAAATTATGAACTGTTCGGCTTCGATATTCTTGTCGATGCACAACTCAAACCTTGGCTACTCGAGGTTAACTTGTCTCCAAGCCTTTCATGGTGGGTTTAGCTTAACTATTGTTTACATGGTTGGTGGCGACAACATTAGAGTTTGCTGTTGAAAATCCCTTATAAGTCTGTTCACGTGGAAACTTTTCTTTCAAACGCATTTGTATGTTCAATTGGAGCTCTTCTTTTCATAAAAGTGTGTTAAATGCAGTGATGCCCCATTGGATTCGTTGGTGAAGACGAGGTTGATCTGCGATTTATTCAACTTAGCATGTGTACCTCTAGTAAATCGGAAGCTTGCTGGCATCGATTCGCTTCACACATTTAACGAAAACGAAAACGGTATGTCTTTTCGAACACCCATGCCTTTCTCTATTTTTCTTGACAGCAGCTGCATACTATTGTAGAATCGAGTGAATCAAATGTTTACTCCGATGGTAGCAAAAAAATCCTTAGCCCTCCAAAACGCGGTTTTACCGTCAAGGTCAGTCATTATCAGTCCTTTTTTGTATCCTTCTGTCTAACTATCCAATTCCTCTACTCTGGATGTCTTCGACCTGTCTATTCTTTCAGTCAATTTGTTTTTTTAAGCGTAAAAGAGTTTTTCACAACGCATTTGCTACGTCCCCGAATGGCGTGGATGCGATTATGCGCGCAATATATCGTCGTGCACGGATGGAACTTTTGCGGAAGGGTGGCTTCGTACGAATTTTTCCGCGTGAACATTCCTTCCCACTATACAGGTCATACTTTTCCCTCATGTTCCACTTTTTCTGTGTTGAATGGAAATTACGGTTTCTTTCTACACTAGTCCGAGCACTTCGTTCTCTCTCATGTTTTATTGTTATCATTTTTTCGCTTAAGAGGCCTAATGGAACGTATTGGACCTGATAAACGGGACGAAATTTTATACATGAAGGAATATGGGTTCGATGACAAATTCAACGAAACACAGATTAATGAAGAAAGTTTAGCGCTCCTCTACCATGAAGTGATCATGGATAGTTCTTTGGTAAGAGCTGCACATATTCTCCGGTCACTTACTTTACCGTCTTTTCACAAAGATATATCCTAATGGCTTACTTGCTCATCATGAATGTGAGCTGTACTTGGATGACGAACTACAATGTAAATCAAGGGTCCGCCCTCTCTGTGAGGTTTTTAGAGCTGAGTGGCTCGATAGAAGCGTTGACTTAAAAGTAAACCAATGCTAGAGTCCCTTCCAGCAGTAAACTTCGTCAAAAGAAGTGGGACCTCTCTCTCGTCCACAGGTAGCGGAGACTGCCGGAGGTGGCGACTTACAAGCGCAACAACATGGCATGCTTAGGGCTACAGAGAAAAAGTGACTTACTCCGTTAGCTACATACTAGTCAAATGAGAAGCTTTACGTATCTTTCACGATTTTTGTCCCTCGTGAAGATCAGCCATTTAAGCACTAAATATTCAATGATATCAAGGCGGAACTTGTGGTTTTCGTTAGGGCGAAAATTGTTGTTTTCAGTATCCTTCTATCGAATCGGTTCCTCCAAAGTTAGTTGAAATTATTTGTGCCTGGCACAGCAGTGCAAATGCTTACACACAGAAGATTACTAGAGTTGGAGAAACGTACGCAGGTGTGAATCGTTTGCTATTTATTTGAAGAGCTTAAATCGCCTTTTTTTTTGCAAAATTGCTTCGATTTTGAAGCAAAAATTTGCTTCAAAATCTTACTTTACTGTTCCCTCATACTTTTGTTTAGTTCTCCTTTCTCGTGAGTATTGTTGGACAAGTTTCTGCTCAGTGGCTTAGGTCTCTGGTTTGGTAATACGATCCTAGAGAGCGTCAGTTTTTAAAGTAAAAGAATAATTCTTGTAACTACCATGCCAACAGTTAAGAAAGTAGGTGTTTTCAGAAAGCTGAGAACGTGTTTAGAATTAGACTATAATCTCCTTCTCCCATTGTAGGTTAAAATCATGCATAAAGTTGCAAATCCCTCTCATGGCTAAAGAAGACTAGTTGCTCAATGATTTCCAAGAATGTTAGGATTCTCCTGCCAAGAAGAGAGTTGTGAAGTCGTCCGAAGCCCCGTTCTGCCATCTCCAGTGCGTATAGAAACAATTCGTGAATCATAGTCATTAGCACAGAATTAAAGTGGTTTTGTCTCTTTTAATGTAGCTTTTAATCACATTGTTTCGTACGCCTGTCTTATTCCATATCTGGTTATTTTTCGAACTCGGCGATTTCATCAAGTTCCCGTCTATCCCGTGTGTCATTTTCAATATCTGTAACTGGAGAAATAATCGGAGGTGAAGAGAAAAGCAGTTCGAAGATGTTCAGAACGAAACACCCTACAATTAGTTCACTTTTAGACACTTCGAAACAAGAATGGAAAATTCTCCAGAAATTGGTTCTTTTATGAAGGGAACCGGCTGAACAACTCAGTTTTTAGCATTTACCTCCAGTTTCACAGAAGACTTTGTCTGATATGTTAGATTGTTCAGAAATTGGCGGAGAATTCCAACCCATATTCTTTATCGTGGCATATCAGAGTTTGTTAATCGAACTAAAAACCGTTGGAGTGTCGAGTTTTTGTATATAGGAGCAAATTTATTTATTTCGCTTGCCTAAAGCTCTGGAATTCTGGAGGCGATGAAGTTGCTGAAGGCAGTTTGAACTCGACATAGTTTATCAAGCATTTCTTGTTCAAAAAGTTCTCGAAATATTTGAAGAGTTGGTACTCAATAGGACAAGGACGAGTATGGTGGATGAGGCAGGTTTTCGAATACCGGCTACCGGCCCAACGTTTGCAACATCGGGTGAGCGACGTGTTGCTAATTCTTACGGCGTCCATTTTATGAGCCTCCTCAGTTTCTAAATGTTCTTTAAATGATCGGAAACAATTCAAATGCTGAAAACGAATTCATCTGCAAGTCCTTGTCAGTTTTGCCCGCATGTTCGTCGTCAATGGCAAAAAGACATTCGCAATCATCCTCGTCTTCAACATCTAATTTGCTGTGATGAAATTTTTCAAACGAACGTTGCACTGTGCTAACCTCTTTATTTCTATTGACAGTTTTTACTCGAGTTCTAATATCTGCACAAGCAATGCGAAGAACGAGGAAATAGAGTCGCACTCGCCGTCCGTTTTCTTTTTTTCCCTTTTTTTTGCCTTAATACCTCATTAATGTTTCGAGCCGTTTGTGCTCCATCATTACTTTAGTTGAATTCGTAAAAGCCTACCAAATCTGCGAGATTTGCCAGTAGTACTTTTTTATAACAGTTGTAATTCATTCGCTCAGAGCCAAAGTGCATAAATAAACTCTTGATTGGTATGTGATCGTATAGCGTTTAGAAAAAAATTTATTGCTAGAAGATATGAAAGAAAAGCAAAATTGCAAGTCCTGCATTAATTCCCGAACAATCTAGCGACGAATACGTTCCTTTGTCCCTGTATCACCCACCGAGCGCTAACTGTTGTCTTCTCGAGTTGCAAAGACCGCCCACCTGTCATGCTCATTAGCTCTCCGATAGGATAAATGTATACCCCTTTCGTATCGGTAGAGTATAGATTTGAAGAATGAAGGGAGGAATTTGGAAATTTTCACCAGATCTTACTAAACAAACGAACAGTTGCTAGACAGTAGAATCAGGTATAAAAGGATGAAAAGTTTCTTATTCGAGTCATTCTCATGTTCGTCAACTACTATTGTCGTTCTTTAAGAGCAGGTATAACTTAACTGCATAATTTGAGATCAAGGTGTTGATATCACCATCACATTTATAGCAAATCGCTCTGATGGATAACGACAGCGGTAAAAGGAAAGAGGAGGAAGGGAGACATTTAGACAAAGGGTGTATCTTACTGTTTGCGTGACGTGACGAGTCATACTTAATACTTGATACTTTAATGGCCCGCCCTCACTGGTTGTGCTGACCCCATCATAATCTCCACTTTTCGGGGATTTGATATTTAAGCCACTGTGGTTCCCTGGAATCTCGAGGTCAGCCTGGCCAAAGTCTGCCCCAGATCTTCACCACATCAAGTAGTCGCAGCCCTTGTGGAACAGAGGGAGATTTGCCACCATGCGACTTTGATACCAGGACGATGGTGGATCTTGGTATTGGTTTACTCTTAACTAGGTTTCCTGATGGAAAAGCCAGACTCTTTTTCATCTTGTGAGACCCTGCCAGTGGATGAATGCCCGCTGTACATCGCAATCCGATATCCTAGAACACGTCCCAGCCGCGATGAGGCGGTAAACCGTTAGGAGGAGAGTCGTAATTGAGGATAATTGTTCTGAGAAGTAAACGTGTTCGGCATTTATCTGTTTATTAGGGATATTTTATCCGTTCTGCTTCGCTAGGCATTATAATGCTCTCTCAACAACCATTTCGTTTATACAGTGATTGCATCGAGCTACTGGTCTACAGAGCTATATGGGCCACGTTCAGTGTAGCGGTCAGAAGCGTCTTTCGATTATGATAGGCTGTTCGATCGAGTATCCCGAAATTACTAAGCTCTCATTCTTCCAGTGTCAGTAAATTTTTCATTTTTTATACGACACATCTGATATCGTGCGTATCCCAGTACGCACTTCTAAAATTACTACACAACCTTGAATCCACAGAACTTTTCGCATTTGGATGTAGTTTGACTGTTATTTGAGGATTTTGTATTCTTTTACGTCTTCGATTGTTGATCTGATTCTTCCTGTAATCCTGAGACAGCTTTCTTTCCAGCGTTCTCAGGGAGTCGCTGAATTTTGAGATTCAGAGGGAGCTTTTTCTAAGTAGGTGCAAATTTGGAGATGCCAGGGTGTGTACTACACGGTATTTCTAACGACTGCACTTCTTCACCTGTCATTGAATTTGTAGTTATTATCACATATATCACCCGTCATTCCGTTGATCGTCGAGTGTTTCGAACGGGCGCTAGTAAATTTTCCACTTTTCTCTGTCGCATGCAATGGTATCCCAGTGGATTCCGCTTGTTCTAGGAACTCGTTGAGCATCATACTTTTCTTCCAGGGCTTTTGTAAAGAACTCTGATTATCGGTTCGGTGGTCTTCTTGCAGTACGTTTGACATCCCGCATTAGTGTTGTAATTGTTACAGAGTTAATAGACATCACTCTGATGATTTTGCTACTAAATTTTAATGCTGTACTCAGTTCCAAATAATGCTGTGCCTATGTTAAGTACATATAACATTTTTTATAGTTATTTTGTACAGCATACCTCACTTTGTATTATTTTACATAACATCATTTTTTATACCTTTTTCGCCACTTGGATAGGTTGATTCAGCAGAATGAGACTTTCAAAAAATTTGCGTAGTAGTACCATAAGTATCACTGTTTCTGTGACCGATCGTTGAACGATTCGAACGGAGTAAAGTATGCATTCGTCTGTGTACTCTACCCAGAATTGTCCAGAAGACTCGAAGAGATTTATATGTCTCGTTCGCTATCTTCTGAACTCTGAGGATTGGAGAGTTCGTACTCTTTGTGTGCCTCTAGGACCTTAGAAGAATAAACCAACAACAGCTCTTCTTTAGTGACTGTTGTCTACCTGATTTTCTCAGTTTTTAAAGTGGTCGAAAATTTTCCAGTTTTCAAGAAGCCACCATTGCATGGAATGTGTGAAAATATGTGAGCTGCACTCGAAGTGTGTGCGAAAAACTGAACACGTTTAGCGCAGTGGTTAGAGGAACTCTGCAGCACATCCGTGATTATTACTTAAATCCCACGCTCGAATAAACCAAGTTTTCTCTCCCATCTAAAGGAACAGGTTGGTACCGGACTCGTCTGGAATGAAGAAAAAACACTGCCTTAATTCCATCACTAGGCATTCGCAACTCATTTGGAAGTATATATATGAATTTATTCATCTTTACGATGGTTAATGGGTCGAGTGGATTCCGCATCCTTAAGGAATTGGTCAACGCCCGGCTCTCGACACTTTTTTTTCACGAAAAAATTGTGCCAGATGCTGGGATAAATATTGTGGAAACGAGCCATATCGTTAATTTCTAGAATTTATAGCTGGATTTTTAGATTCTATTCTATTTTCAAGAAGGATTACTCTTATTATGGACTTGCTGTTTTTCTTAATTTGCACTGTTTGGTTAACGTAAAGTTAACTTGATTTTACAGCTAGGCTACCAATTGTCCGACCTTCGGCACGGCTTCGCACAAAGAGTTGTTCAGAGTGGTATGAAGTGAAAAAAGCAACACTCGCTGAAGCCAAGTTGAAACTTCGACTTCAGCAAGAAGCATCAGAATTCGAGGGCCCAGGGCGGTAAGCTCTAATTTTATTGCCCATTTATAACTGATTTGCGAAACTTCGGTTTTTTCCATTTTCCAATAATCAGCAGAAATTCATTTTGCGTTCTTTTTCACTTTTTGCTTCTGGCTTTCGCTGAACACTGTTCCAATAACTGGGGCAGTCTGGACCTCATAAGTGAAGCAATCTTATTCCAGGCCAGAAAATAAGGAGAACTCTTGCCCGTCTTTTGTGCCTACATCTTAGTTGTATGCTCAGTTTAAATAGATATTGTTGTGATGAAAGAACGAGTGTAAATAAGGCCTATCGAATTATGTATTACATGGTGTCATTTTTTGCAGAAAAGCTTCTTATAGTTGGAATACATTCTCTTATTGTTTCTATCGTACTCTGTAATTGCTTGTTTATGGTTCAGTATTCTTGTGTGGTTTTCAATACCGCACATTTTAACATTCGGTTTTACTTTATGCCTTTATGGGCTTTCATTTCCACAGTATTTCAATCAAATGCTCGTCTATCTTCTTGGCGTTTCCGATTTCGTGGAAATGGTTGCCTTCAAAATGTTTTCCTATCTTTGTTCCATGTCTGTCTTCTGTTGTATAACACATTTGTGAAATAGGTTTTCACGTGAATGAATATCATTGTCTGTTAGCGATTCGCACACTGAAATAGACGGAGCTCTAAAGCATCCCTCTCCCTCGCTCTTTCTCTTCCTTCCTTCCTCTCTCCCCACCGCACCCAAGCAGTTTCGTTACTTTACATCAACTTATTGCTAGTGTTTTCTCAAATTTTCAGTTTTATAGTAGTCGTGTTACATCTCAGAAGGAACGAAAGGAAAATAGTTACTGTTTTATACAGCGAATTTCGAGTCATTGTAATTAATTGGATTCGAAAAAGCCTTGTTAAATTCCACAAAATGCCGGAAAGCGTGGGATTTCAGAGCTTCAAGAGCTAAACCTGAAGACATTTTTAGAAGCGGCCTGGCTGTTCGAGATTTGTTCTTGGAAGCACTAGACGAGATTTCAAAACTGACTTTCCTTTAACTTTGGTATGTCTAATCAATATGTATTCTTTCTTTGATGAGCTTACACGAGGCTGATAATTATATTTATTTTCGACTAACGTTTCAACGTCTCGTCTTCCTCAGAGCCGATTATCTGAGTCGATGGTCCACGCTTGTCATTCGTCTCGACGTGGCAGCTTCGCGTTCGTGTCGAGTCAGGTCCTCAGCGGGCCATCTCCTCGAATGAGGCATACTCACTCGGTGGTGCCGTTTTATGCAGGATGCTAGTGGTTGATAGCTGTGATTGTCTGGTGATAGCAACTTGTTTTTCCGGAGAATCAATCGTGCAAAAGTCGGTATCATTATCACAAAAAAACATTGATTAGTCACACCGAAGTTAAAGGAAAGTCGGTTTCGAAATACTGTTATTGCTGTTTGCTAGCTGATAATGATCTTCCACACTAATGTCGTTGATTGCAGGCCGTGTCGATTCTCCATGGTATCCTGGGATAGCCGTGTTATGGCGTTGCGACTTGGATTGTAGAAAGTGAAACGTTGCCGGATAACTCTGGTACTAATAGTTCCCAGGATCGACTTTCTATTAACCTCGGCATTGGAATATGAATGTGTCGTTTTCTTGTTCAGCAATCGCGAGGTTTTTAAACAGCATACATTTACTTCCATAGAAAAACACAATACAATACAACGCTAGCTGAGGTTTCGACAGTATCGCCTTCTTCAGAGCCTGGAAGGGTGTACGGATATGCAGTCTACTAGGCCAAACGCTTCAATAACACCTATAAAAAGAGGAAAGACTCATTGGTAATTACATGATCAACAACTTCTCGAAAAACCCACCGCCTTTTTCGTGACTTCCAATGAGGAAGTTTAGAACAGCTGATTATAGTCGCATGTGGTTGACGACTGCACCATCCCACATCAAAAATCGATGCGAACATACGGGATCAGGTCGCGTATGACCTCCGGGCTTCCGTCCCTGCTATTCATTGTAGGGTTTTTGGCATTTATCCAAAAAGCCTCAAGGAGTTTTCGCGCTGCTGTTTTGGACTCCTGTGGAAGGATATTGACTTTTACTTCAAAATTGTCTCCGCTATGCTTTTGTATCCTATGCGTGCCTAGTGGGGTGCTTCGTCTTAGTTTTCGTTTGCCATCTAGGTGTTCTTTTATACGGATACACAAAGGTCTGCCCGTTTCGCCAATATATTCATCTCCGCAATTATTACAAGAGATCAGGTATAACGTACCTGAACTCATGCAATCACCGCCCCTGCCGTAAGGGCAAATTACGCAATTTGTTGTTTCACACAGACGGTCATACAGGCGGTTGCGAACTAATTGGCGACGTAGAGTAGCCGGTGGTATTTCAACTATCGCTACCGATTCCTCTAGATTTGCCCTTCTTAAGCATCGTTTTATAGCTGCGCTTACTTTATCGCTTATAAAAGGCAACATAAACGGGATTTTGTCTTGGCCAAGTGTTTCGCGTGGGCGCGTCGTTCTCCTTGTAAACTTATCTCGTGGGGTTACTATTTCGTAGCCATTGGAGATGGCTATTTGCCGAGTCACGTCGCGCGATTCTTCCTTTAGTTCCCTGGTAGTGCACACAGAGGTGGCTGTTCGAAACATGTTTCTCACAATCGCCCTCTTTGTGTGTGAAGGGTAGGAAGAAAGGAAATGAACAAGGATGTTCTTGTTACTTGGCTTTCGATACCACTTTGTCAGGTAAGCGCTACTTGATAGGTTTATTTGAACGTCCAAAAACGGAAGCCAGTTTTTTTCTCGGTTTCTCCCGGGTGAACTTTATGTACTCGGTACATAAAGTACGGTACTGGTACTAATGTGTGTCTATATTGTTGAGCTTACACGAGATCGATAAAGATGTTTATTCGGTCAACGTTTCGTTCTGGTAGCAATTTCACGACTCAGGAGGGGCATTGCAGGCCTGAAATGCAGGGACGAACCGGAAGCGTGCCCGTTCTGGACTTAGCTCTAGTCACCCAAATTTATTAGGTTGGTACATGTGAAATGTCCGATTTTACTGTTTCAATGTCCCATGTAATTTTACAAATAAAGATCTTGTTATTTATGTATGTTTAATACACATTTTTGAAACACAAATTCTGCTTTCTTTATATCTAATATTGGTTTTTTTTTCAAAATTTACTATTTCAACATTTTTATAGGCTTCAACTTTGGTATGAATCAGCGTGATATTCGTCTTTTTTGTACGAGTAGAAGAGTTGACATAATGCCGGGGCAGGAGCTCGGAATGTCATCAAGTTTGCGGTGAAGGTAGCGTTGGTGAATCAACACTTCGAACATGGTTCCGGAAATTCCGATCTAGTGACTTCGACCTCGAAGTTAGGGGAGGCCGCGAACGTATCAGTAAACTTGACAACCACGAATTTAAGGCACTAATGGAAGCAAACACGCGAACAAATCGTTCGAGAGCTTGGAGAACAGTTTGGCGTAAGCACAGGAACAATTCCCACTTACTTGAATCGCATAGGAAAGAAAAAACTCGACAAATGGTTGCCGCACGAATTAAACGATAATCAAAAAGTCGTGTGTTGTACTGTTTACATTTAAAATCGGACATTTCATTTGTTACAACCTATTAACTCGGAACTATTTCCATTATTTAGCAAATTAGAGGAAAAAGCAACGAAAGCATTTAGTGCTCGAACAAGGGCTGGTTTTATTTACTCCATAGAACATTGTCTAAGTTCTATTTATTGGCTCTCGTCATCACCAAATTTAAACCTAAATTTCCAAACAACATGCAAATAAATGCGAATCAACGTTTATTTAATCAATGATTAAACGCCACATTGTGGTTGGAGGCGCCACTGCGACGCACGTGGAATTGATCTACGCGCCCAAGGCTCACCAAGCCTTCCATCTCTCCAGAGTCGGCAAATTGGTAGCAGACTTGTCTGGGAGGATAGCAGCACTGACTCGATAAATCGGTAGGCCACTGCGAGTCATTGTAAAGGCCAGATATGCATTCAATCACTTCCAAACGATGCTCAATGAAGTCGAAACCATGGTGCATCCCTCAGGGATTGATCAATGCCGAGAGCTTTATCCTTTTCATACTTTCTTACTGAACGACAATAATCCATTAAAAATGTGAAAGTGTTTCTAATTCATCATTAGATTCATATTCTAATCCATCATTAGGTTCATATTCTTCAACATCATCAACTCATTCCGTTTATGTTCCTTATAGAGGATTACGGCTTAGGCTTACCACTAAGCGAACGCTGATTTTTGGGTCCTTCAGTTGGTCGGTGTCTTCTTGGGTCGTTTATCATTCTTACGGTTCTGGGGAAATCTGGCATCAATTTGCTAAGCCCGGATGGATGGGGACTCGTCAGGCGTGGTTGCGCAAACCAGCGGCCACGTATGTGTTGTTGCTGAGCACCACTAACGACGGCGCTACTTTCACCTAGTTTGTCTTAGTTGAGCTTGTTTAAACATATTGTGACAGTGGTTAGAACTTCTGAGTTTGAAAGTTGACTATCGGAGAGTAAACCATGTAGAAAAGCGTAGGCGTAACTTACGTCCATCCACGTCCATTTTTCAACAAAATTCTTAATCAAAAAGGAAAGAGAAAACGTGAGGAATTTTGAAGCTTTATCAGCGTTACTAGAGTGGCGAATCAGTTTTGGCTTGTTATTTTTAATTTTTTAACATTATTGGTATTACTATGATGCTGAGATATTTGCAAAATTTAGAGCCGGACCAGATCGGACCGCAATTACTCTTTCCGGTTTCACGTGTTCACACCGCACCACTGAGGCATTATTAAAATTTATTTTGAGTTCTGCACTATCGAGGGAGTACTGCACATTGTCCTCTCCAATATAAGTGGTGGTAATCTGTTCACTTCTGCCTAAATATTGTAGCCAAAGTCGGAACTGAGCAAATCAGTCAGTCAGTCATCATATTTCTTGACACCATAAGCCAACAGAAAATTTTCTTTTCACATC